TCATCCCCATCATTGCTTAAAGGTAGAGGGTAGATGATGATTTCCTGTCCCCTGATTTTTTTTTTTTTTAATATTTTATTTATTTATTTGACAGAGAGATAGCGAGAGCAGGAGCATAAGCAGGGGAATGGGAGAGGGAGAAGCAGGCTTCTTGCCAAGCAGGGAGCCCGAAATGGGACTCAATCCCAGGACCCTGGGATCATGACCTGAGCTGAAGGCAGATGCTTAATGACTGAGTCACCCAGGCGCCTTCCCCCGATTTTCTTTAGCTACTGGCTAACATGCTCTCACTAAAAGGGAACTGGGAGAGAATGTAGATGTTTTAAGACCTGTATAGAGGGCAAAAAAGTTAATACTAAGATGTGATGGTAATGCTCGAAGACTCACAGAATGGTAATCCAAAATGGATACATAGTTCTGAGAACATAATTCAGAATTCAGAGAATCAAGAATAAATAGGATTTTGGGGTAATGTGATAAGGAGAGAGAGCCTGGTCTGTGGTGTGAGAGTGGCCAAAACAAAACGTAAACTATCTCTCTCCTAAAACCACACAGTATGCTTTCTGTTTATGTAATTTTCTACTGTAATTCTAAAGCTGATAACATGATACTAAGAATAAGAATGCCTAAGATAAAGGTATAGAAAAATTAGGCTGCCTTTTGGAAAAAGGTGGGAGTTGTGGTGTGATAGCAAATGTCGTTGTTAGAAGAAAGAATCCTTGACTCATTATCACAAATCTTGCATTTGAATCTCATAACTGCAATTTATTATCTGTGATTGTGATCAGTTGATTTAATCTTAATTTCACACTATAGATAAGTGAAAGATAACAATAATAATACCCTAGATACCTGTGTGGCAGGATTATGGTAGATACTCAGGCATTGTTACCTGAAATTGACATTGAAAGTTTATTCAACATACTGTCCTATGGAAAACTGTTAAATGGTGAACATTAGAGACAGTAAAAAGGGTTGTAATTTTAGGGAACATTCTTAAACCTGTTTTAAGAATCTTAACATTTTTAACTCTAGTTATTTTGCTTTCTGCAGTTTTAAGTATGCAGTTGAAAGCATCAGAGAGAAGTTGAAGGCAAAGCCTTTGCTTTTACAGGTTGGTTGATATTTGGTTGATTAATACCAACAACTCCAGGGGCACCTGGGTGGCTCTGTCAGTCAGATGTCTGACTCTCGATTTCCAGTCAGGTCATGATCCCAGGGTCGTGGGATTGTGGGGGAGCCTGCGTAAGATCCTCTCCCTCTCCCTCTGCTCCTTCCTCTGTGCTGGCACATGCCTGTGTTCACTTGCTCGCTCTCTCGTTTAAAAAAAAAAAAAGGCAACAACTCCCAGTTTCCTCATCAGCTTATTTCTTTTTTTAAAGATTTTATATTTGACAGAGTTAGCGAGAGCAGGAACACAAGCAGGGGCAGAGGGAGAGGGAGAAGCAGGCTTCCCGCAGAGCAGGGAGCCCGATGCGGGGCTCGATCCCAGGATCCTGGGATCATGACCTGAGCCGAAGGCAGACACTTAACGACTGAGCCACCCAGGCACCCCCTCATCAGTTTATTTTATTGTGACATATATTTTTAAAACTATCTCAAAGACAGTGAGAGAGGAAATGTAAGCAGGGGGAGTGGGAGAGGGAGAAGCAGGCCTCCCGCCGAGCAGGGAGCCCGATGTGGGGCTCAATCCCAGGACCCTGGGATCATGACCTGAGCCGAAGGCAGACACTTAACGACTGAGCCACCCAGGTGCCCCTCAAATCTTTTTTGAAAGAGTTGTCATGTAAATAAAAGTAGATATAGACTATGGTAATAATGATAATAGACATTTGGGGGAAAGTAGGGAAAGATAAGCTTTATCACTGATTCAATTGTAATTGAGTGGTCATTTAACAAAGTTAATAATCTCACTCTGACTTGGAGTTACCACTTGGTGAAGGCAAAGCTTTCAAAGGAGTTGTGGATGTTGTAAGTAAAGAAAAACTTCTTTGGAATCGTAAATCAGAGGATGGAAAAAACTTTGAGAGGAAACCCCTTTTGGAAATGAGTGATGCTGAGTTGCTGAAGGAGACAACTGAAGCAAGGAACGCCTTAATTGAACAGGTAAAATAAATACTTGGAGTTTACATTTGTGTAAATATTTAGAAACTTTAAAATATTTTATACATTATGAAATTTTTATAAAATTGCATATGGAAATTGTAATGAATAATAGAATGCACACCAATGTTTGTACCACCCAGGTTAAGAAATAGAATATTAGCAAATCTCTTTAATCTCTGTGTGCCATTTACTGTTTATATTTCTCTTTTCCACTAATCATTTACACCTCCCACCACCGCTATCCTGACTTTAGTGTTTTTCTTTCATTTGCTTTGCTTTATAGTTTGCAACAAATGTATGGATTCATGAAGGACTTAGTTTTCCATGTTTTTGAACTTTACATAAATGGAATGATAATTGTTTTTATTTTATAACATTTTTTGCAGATTCATTCCTGTTGTTATGTGTGGTTTGCTTCATTTTCAATCTTGTATAATGTGCCAGTATTATTATACCACAATTTATTGTCTGTCCTTCTGTGGATGCACTTTGAGGTTATGTCTTCTTTTTTGCTGTTGGAACAGTGTTGGTGTGAACATCTTTGTATGTATCTCCTTGTGTATATGTGTAAGAATTTGTTTAGGGTTACACCTGGGAATGGAATTGCTGGGTCAAAGGGTATGTCCATCTTTTACTTTATCAGATGTCACATTAAACTTAGAAAATTTTAAAACCATTAATTTTATAGTAGAGAACTCTGGTCCTCTTCCAACCTCAAAGTTGGTTTTTTTTTTTTTAAGGTTTTATTTATTTATTTGAGAGAGATTGAGGCAGAGAGAGCCTTAGCGGGGGGAGGGTCAGAGGGGAGAGGGAGAAGCAGACTCCCCGCTGAGCAGGGAGCCCGATGCGGGGGCTTGATCCCAGGACCCTGAGATCATGACCTGAGCCAAAGGCAGACGCTTAACCGACTGAGCCACCCAGGCGCCCCCACCCTCAAAGTTTTAATGGAAAATAGTAAGATTGTTAATATTTATATTTATATTGTACTGTTCGTATATAGACTAATAAGTAAAACATGCCTTAAATAGACTCTCTGAATCTTATGATAGAGAAAAACATTTGAGATTTGAGTCCGAACCATTTGACTTTTTTACTTCTAAATTAAACTGTTAACAGTAGATCCTCTCATCATTAATTTTTTTCATTCATCTTTGTATGAATTTATTTTTGAAGTAATTATTTTCCATTATACGACATAGTAATCATCTTTATCATTAACAGAATGTTGATTGTTATTTTTATTATTGGGTAACAGTTACTGAGGACCTACGATGATCTAGTTTAAGTGCTTTTTATATATTATTTAATCCTCACAATGACTTATATTATCCTTGTTTTACTGGTGGGGCAACAGAAACTTAGAATCCTTAAATAAGTTGTTATACAGCTAATAAGTAGCAGAGCTGGAATCTGAACCCAGGTCTGTCTTCATTTGGAGGTAGAGCTCTTACCCACTTTGCTATACCACTTCTCTAATTTGGGAGGCCATAAACAGAATAAAAGTGGAATTGACATTTATTAATCAATAATTGGGTACATAATTGGTTCCCCTTTGAGGTTTTTTTGTTGTCTTATGTGTGTCTTAGGACATGATGGTATATAATGAAAATAAAATTTGAGACTGTGCAAAATAATAAAGTGCTAATTATAAGGAATATCCCCCAAGGAATATATATTCCTTGTAATTAGCACTTTATTTTTGTACAGATAGTCTCAAATTTTCTTTATTTTAGAGAGTAAGACCACATCACACCCATTAGGAAAGCTACTATCAAAAAAAATCCCCCAACCCCCCCCCAACCAGAAAACAAGTGTTGGCAAAGATGTGGAGAAACTCTAACCTTTGTGTACTATTGGTAGGAATGAAAATGATCCAGCCACTATGGGAAACAGTGTGGTGGTTCCTCAGAAGACTGAAAATAGAATTACCATATTATCTAGCTGTTCTGCTTCTGGATGTATGTCCAAAAGAACTGAAAGCAGGGTCTTGAAGAGATAATCGCATGTCCTTGTTCATAGCAACATTATTCATAATGGCCAAAGGTGGAAGCAACCCAAGTGTTCATCTACAAGATGAGTAGATAAAATATGGTATATACATATAATGGAATATTATTCAGCCTTTTTTTTTT